TTCAAATTCATAAATAATCCTGTGCAAATCCGTGATTTCTGCACTCCAAAATTACGATCAGATAATGCCGTGTCTTTGTGGTCTGACAATTTATTTCCTGAATTAGTCCACGTTTTCATTGCAATCGATGTGCAATCATTCTCTGGATAATAATACTAATTTAAACCGCCTGCCGTTATGTGAAATCAGGCTGGACAAGAAGATGCTGCTAAGCTTTACACATTGTAAGCAATTCATGTGTGTATGTGGACAACCAGTGAATGTGTTCTATCGCGGCGCAGTGGGAACTGATGAGATGTCAAACGACCCGGGAAACGCACTAGAAGTATTTGGGGCCGTTTTGTTCAATGGATTTTGTAGACTGCGTTTGACTGTGCAACAGGCATTATCCCAACGTTGGAGTTTTGATTTCAGTCCGTGGTGGTTATATCATTGTGCTTGTTAGAGGGGCTGCTCCAAACTTGAGAAACGCTGGAGAAAGACCATCAGGNCCCGGGAAACGCACTAGAAGTATTTGGGGCCGGTTTGTTCAATGGATTTTGTAGACTGCGTTGACTGTGCAACCGGCATTATCCCAACGTTGGAGTTTTGATTTCAGTCTCTGGTGGTAATATCAGGCTGATGTGGCTGAAGACGATTTCATGTGAAGGAACGCTTTATGCACTCAGAAGGTGAATTTTCAGCGGTTCAGGAAGATGTGCATTGTCTTATTCTCTCATGTGGTCACATTTGCGCACGCAAGAGACTAGCATCCATGTCTTTGTGTTTCCTTCGAGACGTTATTCGATGACGCAAATCCGCAATACTTGTTCCAAACATTTTTCCCTAAATGGTTTGCACGTGTTACTGATTTCAATGGTATTCAACCAATCGATTCGCGATTGCTGCTCCTCTTCTGTTGATTGACGAACGATAAGATTATACGTGCTGATCACAACTCCCGGCTTATTGACTGCTATTCGTGCAATAGATGAGGCATGCATCGCTGCCCGACTCACAGTAATATGAGGCAGAGAGATTCACTCTTAGGTACAGCGGATCAGTTTGAACTTGCGGCGATTTACTTGGATAATGAAAAGTTGTGAAAAACTTTGATGCGACCAATAAGCGAGGGAAGAACCGGGGCCAAACTTAGTTGCTGCTTGTGTTCGCCTTTCGAATCGATGACAGATTGCATCACCTCCTTCCACGAGGTTGCTACCAATGCATGAGACTAATTCGTTCTGCATTGCTAACACATTATTGCGCATCAAGTTTACCCTCCGGTATACTACCGTGTCATATTCATTTCGAGTAGGCATCGAGTAAGATGAGGAATACTATGCCGTTTACAGGGTGCAACTAATCTGTAAGTATCCTATGTCAGGCCATATCTGGCTTCGTTATTGTCCACATTTCTGCGCCTTATAGCAGAACTGGCCGAACTGCCGCGGCATACAACTGACCAATCACAGACAGATGGGTGTCGCGACGACGTGTGTGATAGCTGACACTTCATTCGTGATGCTTTGTCTTTGTGTAAAGTCGAATTGTAAGATCACGGAAAAGCTACGATATAACATGCACACACACAATTGATAAATCTGTTCACGTAAGATTCCAAACGCACTATTGACGACCGACAGATGGAAGATAAACATGAGCCACTCAGCAGTTCGCAGTTCATCAGTGATCAGTCTACCGCTATCGACATCGAGAAAGATTGTGGTTCCTCCACATTCGTCTGCTTACATGTTCATTTTATCGCATCGTGCACATTGTTGAATTATTCACCACTGTGCGTTTGATTGTAACAGATATTACGTTTAAGCAGCAGAACCAACATTTTACCTGCACAAATAGGGAGTGCGAATTGTTTGATCTGTTGTAGTGCTGCGATGGCGACAAGAATACAACTTACCGCGCTGATGCATATTCGCTATCGCTACGTTGCGTCCAAATCAATTTGAACATCATAATTAAGCAACAGTCACATGTGTTCGATGCATGCCGTGCTTGCAGTGACGAAGAAACATCGTCTACCCCACTAATCACTTTATTCTACGGTGTCAAACATTATTCAAAAAGTGCAAACTCCCATTCGTACTATTCAACATCGATTTGGCTCTGGATCAATGCGAACGATTTTTTCGATCAATGATCGATGATATTTTCCTCAGAGTCTCGATTAGGCAGCGTTAGTCTCATATCATCAGCCATATCATTATGTGTATAAAAATTCACCTGTTCCCATGGGACAAGTTACATTGGCCGAACAAACAGAGGTTTATGTGAACGAGTTCGCGAGAACCTACCGGTCTGTTTGAATAGTAACTAACTAACTGGCAAACGGTTTGTGTGTGCGGGTGGGGTGGGCGGCGTGTACCAGAGAAACGTGTGGGTCCCCATGATTTGCTTTTGGGCTCACAAAGTTGGAGTTATGGAGACGAAACCCTACCGCTGCTGCTTTGGGAAGCTGAGGACTTCGAACGACAACGAAACCGATATAGAGAGCGGAATGCCTTGAATACATTCACAATGTGATTTGTTTCAACTAGGGTTGCCACGACTCCATATGTCAGCAACCTGATCGTTCCTGTATTTTGCCATGCGACTGATATGCAGACAATTTTGATCAAGACGGTGTTATGTCGCCAATTTGTTATCTTGTGCGCCGCGTATATCTGTTGCCTACTATGGTGTCGCAAAACAAGAGAACACCACAGGTGCAAGGAACACAAGATATAGCACAGTAACAATAGTAGCACACGCCAAAAGGGAACAGGGGACTAACACTGAGTCGGTGCGATTTAGAGTACGCTGATGACATCGTATGCCTGTTCGAATCTATGGAGGGTGCGCAATGCGCTCTTGACAGACTAGCAAGTTCTGTATCTCCTTTCGGTATCTGATATGTACCTTTAATGTGCAAAGTGATGCTACAAGCCTCGGTGTCGCCTACCCCAGCGCTGATGCTTGATGGTCAAGAATTAGCTGTAGTGGAATACTTCACCTACTTAAATAGCAGCGTTTCAAACAACGGTANCCCGCATTTCCAAGGCTTGAGTAGCCTAGGCAGAATTGAAATACCTCTGATGTAGACGCGACTTTTCGTTGAAAATCAAAGGCCGTGAGCGGCCAGTTCCGTTTTGTTCGTTACCTGCTTCACCTAGTTTTTGGTCATTGTTTAATCGAATGATGTACTCTCACGATCGTTCATTAAATCCTTAACCCGGATCCGTACAGCACACCCTCCTGTGTGTTCCAATTTCCCGTGTTGGGTTACGGGCCCTAAAA